GAGAGAGAGAGAGAGGCTGTTACTATGTACTGCTGTCTGCTATGCTGCCTCTTCTATGATGGCCCGTCCTGCCTCCTCCGTCTACTCGCGCGACTTGCAGCATCTTCGACTGCCTTCCTTTCTCACCAACACTTCTACTGCTAACAACACTGCTAATAACACTTCTAATAACACCGGTAATAATAACAGTAATAATGACTCGACAGTGACCTCCATCTCGGGCCTGCTCAGGAACGCCGAAGACCAGCCACACTCAGACACCAGGCAGACAGTAACCATCGCCAACAAGAACAAGGAGAAGAAGGAGAACAAGAAGAACAATAAAAAGAATAAAACGGTAGACCTGCTCAACGCCCTGATAGCCGTCCTGACGCTGGCCCTGCTCGTCCTGCTCGTCCTCAGCTGCGTCGTGGCTCTCGGTGGATTCAACCATCACTCGCCCTCTTCTTCTTCTACAGACACACAAACAGCTTCGTCAGGCATCAGGATCTCGCCTGGCGTGCCGGATGAGCCGTCGTCGACAGACACTACGCCGGTACCCACGTCACTGCCAACACCTACTACTACAGCTACAGCTACAGCTACAACATCCACCGGACAGGAGAGAGAGAAGCTCTCGGCCCTGATTCCCTTTCTCACCTTTGCTGCCGGCAAGACGATGACTCCCGATGGCCCAGACGCCGCTCAGACAGCAGGCTCATAGATACAACTGCTGTGTTTTGTTTTGCGTACCCCATGGGGTTCGTGTTGGGCTGGGACTATCAATGGGGACCGAAGGATGGGCTGGGCAGGGCAGGGCATGGGGATGGGGATGGGGCTGGGGACAAGGCTGGCTGGTAACGACTCCTAGTAACTACTCCCTGCATGTGGATTAGGATTAATTAATTATTGGGATCAGAATTTTTATCCGGTTTGCCCCTTACATGGAACTGGTGACTGGTCGAGTGGAAAAAGAAAAGAGTGGAAGAAAAAAGTGAAAAGTGAAAAGTTTGATGGGCGTCGGGTCGCACAGGGCTGAGCCGGCCACTTGTATTACTTTTGATATACTGACTTTTTGATATTTTTGACTTGATGATGATGTATTACTTGATCTGTATTTGGATTGGGGTTGGGTCAGGGGGTGGCACCGAGGCTGGTCAGTCGATGAGGTCAGACTTATACCTAGGTTACTTTATTTAGAGATCATACTTTAGAGACCATACTTTAGATGCCCGAGTCGAGTGAAGTAAAAATCTAACATTAACGCCTATGTATGATGCTGGACTGACTCTGTAGACTGGCTTGCTTTTTACGTTTTATCCTTCTTCTTTTTTTTCTTTGTAATAACTTCTACTCCTCGTCAACTCGCACCTCTACCACAGCTGGGCAGTCGTCAAAGTCATTCGGCATGGCAGGGCTGCTGCCGTGACCAAGACCGTGACCAAGACCATGTCCATGACCATGTGCGTGTTCCTCGTCTAGGACACTGGAGAATACCATGCCCGTCTCGTCGGCGTCGGCATCCCCCTCCGCGTCCAGCTCAAACGACCGGTCCAGCTCGCTCAGGTCACCTTCCCCCCTCTCCGCCTGCGTGCTAGCCACATCGTCCCCCTCGCCATCGTCCGCATAGCTGGACCCCGGCGGAGGGAAGACACGCGGTATCTCGTCCTCGCCGTAGCCGTGGTTGGCCAGTCGGTCGTACGACCAGCTCGGCTGCTGTGCGTACATCGCGCTCCCGGCGTGGAACCGCACACTACTGAACCCTTCGTCCCCTTCCTCCTCTTCGTCTTCATCATCAGGCCCGGCTTCACCCACTTCTCCACTGCCTTCAACGTCCACCTCCTCCTCTTCATCTATTGGCAAACCACCATCTCCCGACTGGCGAGTTGCTGCGGCTCCGTGTAAAGCGCCCGACGACCCATTGCGGGAGAGCCCACCGAGGCGCTTGCCTTCCCCCGATCCACTGCCGCCGCCACCACTGCCGCCGCCGGTTCCACTGGTTCCGTTGCCTGAGCCGCTCTCGCTGCCGGAGTCGTCGCTGGCCCGGTCGTGCGCTTGCTCCGTCAGCCGCGCCAAAAAGGAGCCGCCCAGCGGGACGTCCGAGCGCCGGCGGTAAAAGAGCAAATAAGCGGCGCTTGTCACGACGCTGCTCGGATCGCGCTTCATGGTCACGTGGGAGTCTATTAACCGTCAGCATCAAAAAGTACATCCAGCAGATACAAAAGTAGCAAAGCAGATAAAGACTCACCGTTGAATTCGTACCACAGGCCGTCGACAAAGTTCCGGGCATAGGCAGTGTAGTGGCCGCCGCCCAGGCCGCCGTAGTGGTTGTCCACCGCAATCAGGTCGTACACCATGCTCTCCCCTTCCTCCACCATCTGCACCCGTCCGCTCATGTCCAGCTCCAGCGGGAAGTCCACCACTGCGTCAATCTTGTCGCGGAAGATCCGGTTGGCGCTGAACCGCTTCAGATGCATCACCAGAATGTCCGGCGCCTTCCACAGCTCAAACTTCTTGCTCGCCCGCCGGTGCTCCTTGCACCGCGGACAGTACCACGCATCGTTCTCCGACAGGATCTCCTCCCGCCCAAATTCGTCCAGGCACTCGTCCAGCGTGATCCCGCGCCTCTTCTTGCGCGACCGCAGCTGCCGCTTGCTCGTCACCTCCGGGTCGACCACATCCGACACGTTCGTCCACGTCGGTCGTCCGCGCAGCCCACCATCCCCTCCTTCATCGTTGTCGCCGTACAGCTCGTCCTCGTCGCCAAATACCCCGTCGTACGTCTCCTCGTTCCAGTCGAGCACAATCACGTCGCCCGGCTTGACGTACGGTAGCCGTCGCTGCACTGGCTTCTTGGCCGCCTTTTGCTTGCTGCTGCTGCTGCGTGCCTTGCCGGACCGCAGCAGGCTCGTTGCACCTGCCATCCGGTCAGAGTCCGTCTCAGATCCGCTATCGTCCTTGGTCTCCGCAGAGCTCGAGTTGGTCGACATCTCGTCGTCTGCTGCAACCGCTGCCCGTGTCCGCATCACGTTCACGGGTTGTGCAGGCCCGCTTAGCTCGTCGTCGCTGCTGGCCACGCTCTCCACGTCTGCCCGTCGTCCAAACACCATCTTACTTGCTCCACCGCCACCGCCGTTGTTGCTGCTGCTGCCGCTGCTACTGCTGCTCTTCCCGTCGGGCACGCGGGACAGCATCAAGGGGTACTCGCGGGCCTCGTTGATGATCGAGAAGCCAGTCGGCTCGCTGTCGTTCGTGGCAATGTACCGCACATCAAACAAATTGCGGAGCATCGGCGGGATGAAGCTTCCGGGCCTTAGAACGGGTGCAAGCTCTTCATCATCTGCTCCTTTGTTGTCACTGTTGTCGTTGTCGTTGTAATTGTTGTTGCATCTTGCTGCAGTAGCCTCGTCGTGATCGGCATCTCGCATCGACACATCCACCAGCCCATCTTCTCCCTCCACGGAACTGGCCTTGATCGTCTGCCCGTATGCCTGCGTGTCGTCTTCGTTCATCACAACAGTGTCAGAGTCTTCCCCGGCCTGCTGCTGCGCCCTCGTCACGCCCAGCCCATCATCTTCTCGCAGGATGTCACGCGTCGTCAGGTTGGCCACCCGTGCGAGGATCTGTCGCAGCACCGCATCGTAGTCATACGCTTCCTCACGTGAAATCACAACGTACATCGGAACGCCAAATAATCCCCGCTGCAGCTGGCCGTACCCGCGCCGCACCCGGCCGCGATTGTAAATTGGTACCAGCATCCGGTCTGCCTTGGGCGAGTTGAACCCGACTGCAGGCTCCTCGGACGAGAAGCGGAAGCGCCGTGGCTTCTCCGGGTTGTAGCTTGTCGGCACACTCTCAAGTTCGTACATGGCAATAGTGTCCCCTTCGCTGATCTGGTGGTCAGCTATGCTCTGGCTGTGGTCAAACAGCTTGTAGAACTTGTGCTTGTAGATCTCGGCCATCACCAGCCTGTCAGCGTTCACGTTCATCTTCTTTGCAATGAACTGCTTTACCGCCTTGATGCCCGAGTTCTTGTCAATGTCCACGTCGATGTTCACCGGTGGTTTGTGCAGCGGGAAGAACATGATCTTGTGGCTCCAGCTGTTCTCAATCGGAATCTGCAGCGTCAGGTTGTTGAACGGGTCGAAGATGATGCTGACCTTGTCGCACTCTGGACACACCACAGTGGACTTGTACATCCCCGAAAACAGATCAGTAATCACACTGTCGTTCCTGGCCTTGTAGATCTCCCAACAGCGGTCCGCAAAGCGCTGGAGCGCCACTTTATCATGGACCATCTCGTCGGTGGAATCGGGCTTCTCAATGTATGGCTTCTTTTGGATACGGTTCAAATCCTCCTGCAGCCCGTCCAGGAGGAAAAGCAGGAATTCCTGGGAGTCCTGCTGTCCATAGCCAGAGAACGAAGGGCCGTATCTGCCAATGGTAACCTTGAAGTTCCGGGGAGCAAACGAAGCCGAGCCCTGTACATCAAATATCTGATGCAGCAGATTTGCATACGCCTTGGCAACATCCCCGTTGTGAGACAAGGGGTTGTTCGGGTTCAGGTCCTTCTTATACTCGCCCACTACATCTAGTTAGCAGGGAACATTGCAGGGGGTTTTCTTTTGTTATCTTTTTTATGTTAAGTAAACCTACTCAAAAAGTAATGAGACAGCTCCTCGACACTGCGGACACACTGAAGCGCCGAGTTCATGTAGCATGTATTGCCCAGGTTGCTTAGTCCGGTCACTCCTCGAGCTTTGCCGTCCTTGCGCCGTCGTCCTCGGGTGACGATTGAAGGAGCAGGCGATGTCCGTCCGCTGCCCGAGGAGCTTTTGTTCTTCAGCCTGTTTTGGACATTGGCTTTTGTGCCAGCTCCGACGGTCAGGTTGGTGCTCGACTTGGTTGTTTCGGACAGCCATTCTCCGCCTGCTGGACCGCCAACTTGCTCCTCCAGGACGATAACGTTGTCGCTTCCTAGACCGATAACATGAATAGACGCTCTGCCGTTGTACTTTGTATTTGCAGTATGGTCTTGGACATCCACAAGCTCTCGCTGGGATCCCTCGGTCAGACCTACGAACGCTTCCAGGCCCAGGGAGATGGAGGTGGGAATCTTTGTCGAGACGGTAGTTCCCGGTGCTGGGGACGCACTTCTTGACGCAGCCGGAGTTACGTTGGCGGAACTACCGAGTCCTTCTAGGATTCTCCAGACCCGAGTCTTGGTTGACATGTTGATGGATGCCAGGGTCTTTGCGGTCTTGAGCCATTGCTGGAAAGGGGTATGTCTGCTGGCCAAGAATCTGACGGGAGGTTTGGACTTCTCTGCCTCGGAGGGGTTTGGAGACAGTTTCAAGATGGAGAAAATGGGAGGATTGAGCTCGTACTGGATGTGCTCCATGTCTCCCTCGGTGTTGGTGTTGTGTGCGTATCGAACGATGGCGGGGGACTGGTTCGATAGACCGTACCATTTCATCACCAGGTTCCAGGCTTCCTCTGGCAAGATCTCGTAGTCCTCGCCCATCTGCAGGCCCGGACGCATGGGGACGAATGGCTCGCCCGCTTCATCGTTGAAGATGGTGTCCGGATCAGTAACGAGGACAAGGTCTGAGTTGTCAACGGGTCCGATTTCCCCCTCGGCAGCCAACTTGTCCGCTTTATCCGGCCGTGGATGGGTAGAGCTTCTGGAGAGAACCCTCTTCAGCCAGGTAGCAGAAACAATGTAGCCCTTTTGCTTGTCGGTGGGGCTCTGCTGCATCAACTGCATGACCTGGGCGACTTGCTCGTCGATAGAGGGGTTATCGTCGTGGGAAGCATGGGTTTGCCCGCTGCTGGATGACGGGGTGTAGATGGTTGGATCAGTTCCAGAGCTGCTGGTTTCGGAAGCGTGCTTTCGGCTTCCCTTGGATGGCTCGGACTCAGTCTCCTTTCCAACCATGTCAACGGAGGCATCACGCTGGTGCCGATTCAGACGCTCGGTCTGCTTCTTGCTTCCTGCTGCCTTGTTGCTGCTCTTTTCGGCCTCTTCCTGAGAACCTAACGAAGGGGAATCAGTCTGCATCACGGTATCGTGTTCGTCACAGCCCATCTCGGCAGCCGGCCTCTTGATGGCCGGTGGAGCAGTGTGAGAGTTGCCGTTGTCTAGAGAACCACCAACACCGCTGCTGTTGCTGTCTACCATGGAAACATCCTCCTTCGGGGGATCACTGGCGGCAGCGGCGGACTGGCCGGCCGCTCGGTTGTTGTTATTAGACGATGACATGGGCCAACAGGTGGTGTCTTGGGTCGACTCGCCGTCCGTAACGGTCGGAGAGCTCGTTGCCGTGGTCGATCTCCAGTCTTCGGTGGACGACTGTTCGTTTGCGCTTCCGTGCGAGGAGTCTACCTGCAGGGACCGGGCGGGCGACAGTCTCGGCGAGGAGGGCGAGGACGGCTCGGTGAAGAAGCCACGCTGCGGCAGTGCAGACAGGGCAGACGTAGACGAAGACTGGCCGTACCGTTTTCCTATCTTTGGTTTCCGGGGAGGGGAGGTTTTGAGGAAGTATAAGCCCTTGTTGCCTCCAGCTTTGCGAAGCTCTGCGGCAACCTTGCGTCGCTTTGATGAAGGCGTGGTGAAGGTGAGCTGCCCACTAACCAGTGGCAGCTCTGGAATCGGTGAAGTATTTTTTTGTTTCTTTTCTTCTTTCCCTTGTGTGTCTGGGTTTCACATCCGAGTGCAGACCGAGCAGCGCCTTTTGCCTGGCGGGTGGTCACCTAGCAGTTACATAACGCATATATCAGCGGATGCAGGGGGCGAAAAGAGAGGCCCGTCTCCGGCAGAGAGGGCAGCTGGAGGGCTGGGGAGCGTCCTTACAGTCTTGAGCGTCGGGTCTGAGATGGCAGACGGCCCTGCTGAGCGAGCGAATGCCCTCTGCTTCTCGATGCTCGAGGTCTCTGGCGGGTGTGGCGACGGTGCCTGTAGTTAACTGTACTATAACTACAGCGGCTCGTCGGCGGACGCTGGAACAGGCCGCAACCAGCAGGACAGGCGCGAAAAAGGAGAAAAGACAGGCGGGGCGGGGGACACGGCGGCGGGCTCGACGCAGCGCTCTCTCGCTCTCTCGCGTCCTTCAGGCTGAGGTTTCGCTTCTCTTCGTCTTCGTCGGCTTCGATGTTTTCTGGTGCTTTTTTCGACCTCGAAGTCGCTGGAGTTTGCGTTTTTTCGCGCCTGGTCACGTGGTGTAGTTTATTCAGACGAAGACGACGAGATGAGAGAAGATGAAGAGATGAAGAGATGAAGAGGCGAAGAGACGAAGATGAAGAGGAAGATAGGTCGATATCAAGATGGAGTAGAAGAGTAGAAGACGTAGAGAACGGGGTGGATGGAGGAGAGATGGTTGCAGAGACCTGCCAGCAGTAGGGACTCTGGCCTGTGGAGTGCGGTATCCTGGTATCTATAGACAGACATCGAGTATCGGCTTGATAGAGGCCGTGTTGTAAGCCGTTAGTTCAGATAGAGACGGTTATGCTCCGTAGACGCAGGATAATCATCAATAGGCGGACTGGACATGGACTATTTGGTGTGTTGGTGCTGCCTCTTATACATGAATAGACAGCGTGATAAATGAATAGCAGTACTCCTGGAGCTCGCCATAGTGGAGGATTAGTTAAATGTTGCTATCTATCTCCCATATACGGATACAAAGAATATGTCTTCGTGACTGGGATGGCGTTGGTTATAAGTGTGGCCGCTCCCGGGCAAGGACGATATTGAGTGACCCCCTATTCTAGTATTGGCTTGAAAGTTGAAGCTGTCAGGAGGTTCGACCACTAGGAGCAGCATAGACACAAAACTTTGATGGGAATAAGTATACAGTAACCGATGTTCAATGTCCTATCATTATTATAGCCCTGTCCTCTCCGTACGCTAAAGATGAAGGATAACATGCATGCATGGCTTTGTTCTGTGTCTGCTAACTTAAACGCGCTACCGGACAGCAATCTTGTCGACTTCGTCCCGAGCCTCTGTCCATGTCTCGAGACTCTTGCGTGCCCAGTCAAGATGGCACCGTGCATAGGCAACCTGCAGGGGGTCAGCATCACCCAAAAAAAGAGGACATATAAAATAATGGCTGCCCAGTACATACCATGTAGCTGCGGAGATCGTCTTCCTTCTCCTTTTGAAAGCGTTTGAGATCACGCAGGACACCACTGCTGGCGTCCTTGACGTCTTGCTCGGATACCTTTAGAGCTTGCTCGAGCTAGACAAAGTGTGAGAAACAAAGGAACCTGGCCGAGGGTGTTGATCTCTTTAAACGTACCTGTGTTAGACTTTCCTTTGTCTTGCCGATTTGATCTCGACGTGTCCGCTCGGGATCAACGTCTGCAAAGCCATGGATGGCATGGCTGATACGTCCGAATATCTTGTTGGTCACAAAGTTGCCACTCGAGGACTTGCGGTGGCCGCTGGGTGTTGAGTCTACGGGCCGGTGGGGGAGACCCTGTGAGGCTGACGGTCTATGAACTGGCTCACCGTGAGTCGGCGGGAAGTCGGAGTCAATAGAAGCAGTGTCCTCTGCATTGGCTGGGGGAGACTCTGGTGCTGGCTCGGGGTTGCTGCCCGACGAGGCCTCCGAGAGTGACCGGCCCGGTCGTGTCTTGGGAGACGAACCACTGCTGCTCTTGTTTAGGTATTCCTCGATACGCTGTGCTTCTATCTCACTTCGCTCAAGGGAGTCAAGTAGCGCGCTCTTCTTGTTCAGCTCGTCTCGTGTCATCTCCTGCTGAATCCGCTTCAAGATCCGGTACCGAAGGACGCCTCTAACAACACCTGCAAACTGGGCACTCTCCCGCATCGGCTCTGAGAAAGTAGCCCCCAGGGTGGAAGAAAGCTCCTCCGTCTCAATGTACGAGTTGTCTGCGGCTTGGCCGACTCTCTCGATGGCTGCAGCAACCGTTGGCGACTGCTCTGAAAGGGCAAATCCGTTGTATCTGGCACCAAGTTCCATGAGGTCTGATGAGAGAGCAGTCAGATGTGTAAGCGTCCGTCTGTTCACTTTCTCAACGCTTCCCTGCAGCAGCAGTTCTAGCTCCCTGGTGGAAGCTTCGAAGTTTACAAAGTATGGATCTAGCTCATGTTCGCTGAGTGTCTTGGAGGTCGGCGGGAATCTATTCATGAATGATGGGGCCCCGGCCGAGGAGGCGGGAATATCTGAGGCTGTGGGCTTCAGTTTTGCTGAAGACGACGGGACAGGAAGCCAGTTATGAGCTGGTGTCGGATTAGCCGGATCTAGCGGAGGAGCTTTGAGGTTGTTCTTAGGAACTGAAGCAGCCGGGTGTGAGTTCAGTACCTCACCCTATAGGACAAGTCGTCAGCACAATCAATAACCAGAAGCACATGTACCAGCTAGATACCCACCCAGCTAGCATTGGGGTCCAGGAACCTCCACCAGACGCCATCTTCGCGGATTTCATTCATTCTCCGGCATCGGTTCAGAAACACCGCCAGCATCCGTTTCCGTAGTTCAATAATCGCCGTATCTTCCTTGGCCTTGGTAGGTTTGGCTGCATAATCTGCCATGGTGTGCTTCTCTGGGATGGGGGGGATGATAAGAGTAGGATGAAGGTTGACCAGCGCCGTGCGAAGGGAGCTGAACTCGGAATATCGGCGTCTCACCTCGAGGTCCTAACCCGGCTATTAGCTGGAAATGTATATACTGTAAACGATATATATCAAATGTCAGGTGCGCACCCCGGTTCTGATGGTATATACTATAAAACTGCCGCCGGTCTCGCTGTTTTTCCCAGCATCAGTAATGAGAATAGGCAATTCCGGATTCTCATATAGAATCTGCTCTATCCTGCTATCGTATATCCCCTTCTTGCGCTGGTATGGCTGCTGTTGGCCACCGTACTCGTTCTGGTCCTCATCGTCGTCTAGATCGGGTGTGTCTGTCCGTGTCACAAAGTCCGGCGGGTCTCGGGTAGAAGACCTTGACGAGGCCGGGGATGCTGGACGCTCTTGATACGCAGCTATTGCAAGAGCCAAAGGCCGTCAGTAAGCTTGCTTCCGTACAGTTGCTAAGGCGAGGTCTGTCTTACGAGGAGCCATTGCGGCGGGGTGAAAGGACCCTCCAAGGGGGTCCTCGTTGCGGTCCAGAGCTCCGTACGGATTGTTGTCTTCATCGTTCCACATCTTGAAGGCCGTCGCCGGTATTTATGTGGCCGTTGTATCGAAGACTGGCGGGCCGGAAGGCGCAGTACAGGCAGCCGCGAATATAAGCAGCTGGTAGTTAGTTAACTAGCTGGCTAACTGAGGCGGGAGTCGTGCGGACTGTCGCAGCACGGGATATCCAATGCGGCGCTGCTTGTGAAATGCCGGCGAAACGCTTGGATAATATAGGCTGATGGCCGTGGGACGGTAGTCATGGCATCCAGCCGGTCGTTAAAGCAATGCACGTCTGGCAGCAACAGGGTGGAAGTTGACGCTCTTGGCGCGCGGCTCCCCACGACACCCGCCCATGACATCACCAGCAGGCATAGACGCGGGAGGCGAAAAGGGGTTGGAGGGGGGAGGAGGAGGAATACAGCGACCAGCAAACATGTGGACAAGAGATACAGTGTCTAGCAGTCTATCTGAGTCTATGGATAAGGATACGTTGTCTAGATGCCCGTCACGGACTCCTTTATGGTGTTTCTGGCGCTTGCTTTGGCCTCGCGGCAGCGTTCGAGCGGCCCCTGAGAGCTGCTCTGGCAGAAGACGAATACCCCGAAGCCGCTCTACGACGGGCCTCGCGTCTTCTCTCTCTTCTTCTCTTTAGCCGCAGGTTGGCTCTGTCGAGTGATGTGTTTGCCGTCCTGTCCTCCACCAACTGGTCTGCCTCATCGTTCGCTCTGTCCGGCGTGTCCTGGTTCTCAGCCGGCTGTTGCTCCCTGGTCGTCCTTTTAGGCGTTTCCACCGCCCCCTTCATGAGAAACTTATCCTCCCCTGTCTCTTCTTCCGTTTGCTTGGGTTTGACACGCTTTGTCTTCCGTTTCTTCCGTGGTGGAGATGTGCTGTCTGGCCCGGAGCGCTTCCTCGAATGGCGGCGTCTTCCTCGACTCCTTGACTTTAATGCCCGTCTCTCCTTTCGTTTCCTTTCGCGACGGCGTTGCCAGAGAATAGTACCCAGGCCGAAGAAGAAGAGGAAGAGCAGCAGGGAAGCCGCGAGGACTCCTCCTTGCTGCGCTGATGTCCACGAATTCCAGTCTGTGGAAGATTCTCGCGGTGCCAAAGATAGCACTGGTGGTGTCTTGTTTCGATATTGCCTTAGAAGAACTGCCGGCATATTGGCTGGTTTGTGTTCTCACGGTGATTCCTTTGCTAGAGTCGATTTGGTGTTAGCACCCTTGAGCTATCCAAGGCAAAATATGAGACAGATCTTTTACCGAGGAGTGGTGTTCAGCAAAGCGATGCATAGAAGACGAGTGTAGACGTAATATTAGACAGTGCTATGGAGCATATAAGGAGTGAATGGTACTTGATTGTGTGTATCAACTCATATAAGAGAACAAACAAGTCGTTTTGTGGGTTCCAGACAATCGAGCTGCCCGTAGAGTAGACGCTCCAAAGGAGTTTCATCAAGTCCGCCAATGTTTGTTGTTTGGACAGAAACGGGTATCTTCCTTCAAATCCCTTTGAACATCAAAACGCACCAAAGAAAGCACAATGTTTGTATGTTTATCTCCACGTCCCCCTGAAAATACGGCCTCTCCAACTGGTCAAACTGAACTTCAATAGCCAACCGGGCCCTATCCCAACTTCTAATACCGATAGCTGTAATGCATGGCCTCCTTTTAACATGCTACATGTGCTGGCTGAGGCTGTTGAATAGGCTGAGGAGCACGATATTGAACCGGCTGGTGACGGCAGCTTCGATGTGCGGCCATCATGGCACTGAGCTCAGCAAGCTGCTCAGCCTGCTGGATCTCCTGCGCAACCCGAGCGGCTTCTTCTTCTCGGGTTTCCTGCTGCATCCTTGACAGAAGAATTCCATGTCTGATGGCCTCCAGGATGCGTCTGCCAATTTTCCATAGTATGAGAATCATCACAGGAGTCATCAGAAGAAGGACAACTATCACATAGTTTTCCGTCATTTTAAAAGATCTTGTCTGCTTCATATTAAGGGGTCAGTTTAGCTTTGGCTTATGGTTAGATTGAAGGAGACCTACCGGTTGGTAGAAGACGTAAAACCTCTGCTTCTTAGGAACGCTCTGGAGAATTCTTGTCTGTCCTTGCGGTTAGTCGTCGATGCTAAGGATAGGGTGTACGGTTTACCTCACCGGAGGTGGATAGTCGATAGATCAGGCCCTTGTGGTGGATGAATATCAAAGGATAGGAGTCAGAGAAAAATGAGAATGAATATTCTATCAGGATATTCATGTTGTTGACGCCGCCTGTATACCTATAACGTAGCATCGCCGCGGCAACACAGTGGTTGCGCATGTTTCTATGATGAAGTTGTCCTGAACTCTACCAACAAACCCTCTAGAAGGGAGCTCCAAGCTGGATTCAACTCTGAGGTGTATGTGCAGGTATAAAGAGCCTGGAGCTTGTGGGTCAGTTCTATAGTGTTGACATCTATAGAAACTGATCTATGTGTGAGTAGAAGGACCTTTGCTCCATAAAGAATGCGAATACCAATCACAAAGACGTCTGTATTTGATGTCCAGCCCAGCAGAGAGTCCTTGGATTTGTCTGCTGCTAGTTGGATTAGAGAATCCAGTCCATCCATCACCCATGTGCTGAAATGCCCATATAGAGAGCAGTTTATGGCGCCCTTTTCAAGTTGGATAAGATGCTGGCCCCATAACTTGATCTCCCTAACTTCATCAATATAAAGATTTTGTTTCTCCTCCGCGAACAACGCTGTTGATTCATTGATAGCCTTGTTTAGCGTCTCAGCCACAGGGACAAACAGTCGTCGCTGACTAGGCGCTCCAAGGAAACGTTGAAGAGCACCTTCAAATACTCCGCTGGACCCCGGGTATTGGCGGGTTAACAAGTCTGCGATGGCAGAGGCAGACGCAGCAGGAAGCCTGAAAACCATCAAATCATCCGCGAGAGCTTTGGAAGCTACAAGAGTGGCTGCCTCTCGGATCTCAACATCATCATCATTGAGCATGTCGTACAGCACAAACATGACATCAATGAGTATCGGTGTTACGGGAAATTGTATCTTTGCAGCCCTTAGGCCTATAACCAAGGAGTTTAAAGAAGTTACAGCCGCAAATCTCGTTGTAAACACCTAATTAGTGGTTAGAGTAAAGTTCATACTTAACAACATGTAAATTGCACTCACTGTCTCATCTCGCATCGAAACTGATAACTGCTGGACAAGCTTATTGAAACGTTCTATAAAGGTAGAGTCGGAGCTTAGAATGCTGGGGCTTTGCCTAATATGTAATGAAAGTAGACATCCTTGAAGCCGGATGGTGGCATCGGTCATTTTGCGGCCCCATAGAGGTTCACCGGGGCTCTCTGAAATGGGGAGCGTAGACGACCATGATACCAGGAAGTCGAGTTCCCTGAAGGCTGCATGGCTTTCTTCTGCACTTTCCTGAATTGCTTCAAGCTCGTCCGAAAGGCTCGATATAGCAATTAACCTAGTATCCTTCGAAAGGCCGTCTGTGATTATGCGGAAATACAGCTTTAGCCGGTCACTACGAGAGCTCAAGTGACCGAGTGAAACCATGGAAAACCGCCCTAGTATGGATGCAGCAATATCAGCATCAACGAGTGAGACAGTTTGGATGAACTGAGCCAAATCGTCAACTGGCGATTTAAGCAAGGCCCCAGTCATTAAATAGCTAAAGGCGATACTCTCTAGAAGGAGAGATGACGATCGTTCCATCGGAGAACCAGGCTTTGGGTTATATATGATATTTTGATAGTGTTTATCCAGATGTAAGATAGTTGATATGGCATCGAAATGGTCGACAATAGTATCTAGAGTTACACGTCAGCCAGGAACAAAGGCAGAAGAAGTATACAATGCATTTTACCTTCAGTTCCTTTTGTCATTCCACTTTGTAAGAGGTCGTTGATAATCTCAACGAGTTCCCTCAGGGTAAAAGGTGAGGATACATGACGTCCTAAATTGGTAAACATTGGTTCAGTGGTGGAGACGACGGCAGGGAGTAATGCTAAAAGATATTTAGTGCTATGAATATCAAATAGTGTTATGGATCGCTTACATTGATAGTATGCTACAGGCGCAGCACATATGCGTCGAAGCAGATATTTGATGCATAAAGCTATTCCGTGTAGCTGGTTCTGGCCCTGTATCGATGTCTTAGATAACTTCAATATGACCGAAAGTATATCGTCTCTGTCAACGAGAGTGGCATATGTCCTTGCAGCATGATCACGAATCCCCCATACAGGGCTGTCGAACTGCCATGAAACCGATTCTAGAATGCGCTCATCTTCACTTGTAGCAGGAGAGGGGAACTTGTTTCCGATAAGTTCCAAGGCAGGGAATACTCTTTCAGTGGTAATCGATAGCTGCTCTGATAAAGTATTATCAGAGGAACCCTTTGCCGCCCCTTTTTCAAGAAGACCGGTAAGAAGTGGTATCAGGCCAGGGAATCTGTGAAAAGGGATGAGTTGCTTCGGTTCAGAGCCATTAGGGACACCAAATCCCAAGTTAACTCCATTCGTTCGTCGACACATTCGTTGAACCAACGATCGAAATAACATTAAACCACAGTTCCGAATAGCCCATCTAAAATTGATTAATACCTAGCCCATTGATGACAGTGGGGCCTAAGGGGAAGGGGCCTACATTTCAGAACCGAGACATTCAGCAGAGATACTCAGTGCCGGCATCAAGTACTCTTCTGTCACTGTGGCTAGATTCGTTGCAGTGAATATATCTTTTAAGCAATTCATGGCGTGGACCTGTGGAAGCTTTACATCCACCTGTTCCGAGACGGAAGTTGGCGGAATTTTGGCGATGTCCTGGAGCTTTTCCATGATTTCATGGAAGAATGGCCGCTTTGCAGATGATGCTACGCCCAGAGCCAACGCAGGGAGCCCTGCAGACCGACGGGTAAGTTTTGCCGATTGACCATAGATAGTGCTCAATATTTCCTATCAGATACGTTAATACGTTGTATATGGCGACATTACCAGCGTATCTCCCCTACCTTAAACCAAGTTTGAGGAAGTTCGGCAACGGCATTGTCCTTCGAAACACTACATCTCTGGCAACAAGAGACAAATGTTTGCGAGACTGCGCTGAATGCACCCCGATGGCGTAGTTCTGCTAGCTGGGAAAATGTAAGGCTGCCAACCCTTGCAAACTCATCATAGTTCAGACCCTCCTGAGTCCCCAAAGGAGCAAATGAGGTATTTGATAGGATAGCATTCAAGAGTAAGCTAATGGCAGTTAGTATGTCGTCCATAGACGAATATTTCATACATGCAAATCATACCTAGATTCACGGAGAGCACGCCAACAACAAGATAGAATGTCTTTAGGTCCTAATAGATCAACGGAAGAATTTCCATGCTCCCTTTCGGGAGAATCGACACAAAGTACTGCCTGAACATCCGACCACATTGTTTCACAGAGAAGGAGAGTCCGGTTCAGTACATGCCTCCAAGCCGGCTCGGAGTCATTTTCAGATGATATGACTGAATGAAAATTAGGGCTTGCCATTATGTATCTGAGAGTGGTGAGTAGCTATACGGTGGTAGTATCGAAAACTGGGAGTACGAACCTTAGTGCAGATAAATGGCCATGGATAGGAGTATTACGCAACGTCGTTATATCGGATAAAGATGTGACCTTCTCTAGTTTGGTGAGTATTGAATCAACTATATCGTACTTATAGTCGTAAACAATTATTTGCTGTCCAGGACAACGCCCGGTGTCGGCCAGATCAAATAAAAGATGGTAGATGCGGGCTACGCCATCAGCATGATCAGCTCTGCTTGTTTGGCCTGCCATCTCCTCTGCCCTGGCTAGGGCATCCAATAGTTGGTTATAAGGGTGGCGATGCGTCCTTCCATCGATACCAGAATCAGTGTCGGCAATATTTTGGGGCCTTAGGAAGGAGGCCGGGAATAACCCAAGTAATGAGAGGGAGGTCATTCGGATTTCTTCATAAGGATTGGTTAGTAAATCCCCCAATGCCCTGAAAAGGCTAAATGTGAATATGTCCCTGGAAAACGGCCAATTTCTTTGGTCGCTGCCAATTTTTGAGAGCTTCGTGGGATCAATTCTGGGGTCAAGGCCGGATTGGATAATAGTTGCTAACGCTTTCAAAGCAAGAATGTGCGTTTGATAAGAGGCGTTTGGTCTAAGTTCGGATTGTAGGAAATCTATATACCAAGATATAAATGATTGTGCATCAAGGTGTGCAGACTCCTGTTCTGTCGCATCCACTCCTGGAGCCGGCGAGCAGGTTGATGAGCCGCCTCTGAGCCGAACAGTAAGTTTCCGGATCATGCTTACAAGCTCGCTTCGGACGTGAGCATCTGCCTCAGCGTGGATGAAAGGTATCATTTCTTTAAGGATTAGTAGAGCATCGGAAGAGAAAGGCTTGGTAGTAGATGGTGCAGATATCAACAAAGATAGAACCCGCACTCTGATTTTGGCATTTGAATGTATTAAAAGGAGCCGTAGCTTTTGGCTTTCAAGGACTAGAAGTTTGTCCGGGGAAGATGAACTGGGAGCTTCTATGCTTAGGTTAGACGGATGATATAACGAGTCGAGGGGGTGAACGATGATACGCACGATCTTCATGTACTAGTCCGAGCTCCTTTCCTGTTTCAAGAACGGCGATAAGAAGTGCAAACTCAGCAGTGCCAGTCTCGCCATAGTTTTCTGATAGCAAATCTTGGAGAGGCAGAACGTCAAGGAAAGACGAAAATTCAGCTGGCTGGCCCCTGAAAAGTAAATGAAAAGCGAGGCTTATAGTTGCATCAAGGTTGTCAAGGTTCCGAAGTGATAAATACTTGAGGGGAGCAGCCCAAAACGGAGCACCGTTTCCTGGAGTAGAATACTGGAACAGGCCATCTTCAGACTGCTTTTTCAGCTTGAAACATAGTTGAGAGAGAAGGGTGCCGGAAGAAGTGACTACATTCGCATTTTGAAGATGTAGTAAGAGAACTAGACATAATAGCTGCGCGGTTATCGTACCCTGCTCCTCTACGGAGACTGAGGGTCCGCTACCGGTAAAGGTAGAGATGTCAAGCCCAACGTTGGTTGCATGCTCGCCTATAACTGGAGTCCAGCTGTTGACATTGGCTTGAAGCCATTTCTGTAAATGACTGATTAGATCTACAGCGGGGAAAGCCTCCTTTCGAATAAGAAAGTGGAGAGAAACCACTGATGCCTTTAGCCTGGTCAAGGGTTCGGCTAGTAAAATGGTTTTCACCACTGAGTCAATCAAATAAGAGCGGATAGAACCTGCAGTATCCGGATCGGAGTGAGTAGCTAGAATATTTGTGAGAGTGGCTAGAATCTGCTTCATAGGCTTTGGTGGGCTATACTCGAACCGATCGAGGTATACCTCAAATACGGCAAGCCAAGTTTTTTGAGATCGAGCAAACTGGCACACTTCTGAGCCTTTTGCCGTTAGTGCAGCCTCTAGAAATGCGCATATAGCATTGCACACGGAAGCCTGGTGGGGTATAGGGAGTGTTGTGTCCTCCAGCGTATGAAAGAGACATCTCCACAGAGAAAGTGATTTCCTAGGAACAAATTAACAACCGGTCTTAAACATGTATTCTTGCCTGGTCCAGATTATATCTCACTCATAATTCCCAGTTTCTAGTAGCAGGCATTTCAGCGGGCCTTGAGTAAGGGTTCTCAAATCGGGCTCGGGTATAGTTTTTGGAGCCTCCTTAGCAGTTGAAATATATTCATCAAGGTCCAATCTGCTCCTCACGGGCAATATCTTTTCTTCTGGCCCACGATCAGCCATCATAGAGCCCATCTTCCCTTTCATCTATCAAATATCAAATTTCATGCCGCATTTCTTGATGCTTTTTATTTTTTTTTATTTTTTTTTTTTAGGGGTCGCGATAAGATCACGTGACTTAGTTCGATCAGCTCCTCACGTGACGGTATCTCGACTTTTTTTTTCTCTTTCGCTTTTTGACGTCGAAAGACGAAGAAACGGAAGAAACAGACGGAGAAGAAGCACATTCGACGAGCAATTCCACCAGTTCACCAGTTAATAGGAGCGCGGCCTGCGCAGAGACGTTGTTTTATATTTCATTATTGTATTATTATTTTTTTCTTTCAAAATAACTTTTTAATTTACATCCGCAGCCATGTCTATCTGGGACTCCCTCTCAGGCCGGAAGAAGACGACCGGAACCGCTGAATTCGATCCAAGCTCCGCTACAGATGTCAGCTCGTTTCTCTCCAGCACTGCCATCCCTGACCCCTCAGAGCTGCATCCTCTCGCTGGCCTGAACAAAGACACCCTCGACTATCTGACCCTCGAAGACTCGGCGTTGAGCGACCTCCCTGGCTCCCAATCTGCTCTGCCATCGAGAGGGTGGTCTGATGATCTCAGCTACGGTACTGGAACAACATATCTCATTGCCCTTACGACAGGAGGTGCCTGGGGCCTCATTGAAGGATTGAAGAGATCGCCAGCTTCCGCTTCACCGAAGCTGCGTCTTAACAGCGTGCTTAACTCGGTGACCCGGCGAGGCCCGTTCTTGGGTAACTCTGCAGGCGTTGTTGCGTTGGTATATAACGGTGTGAACTCGACAATCGGCCATGTGAGAGGAAAGCATGATGCGGCGAACAGCATTGTTGCCGGAGCTTTGAGCGGCATGCTTTTCAAGAGCACCAGGGGGGTTCGGCCGATGATGATTTCTGGAGCCATTGTAGCTAGCATTGCTGGTGCCTGGACTGTATGTTCTCGTTTAACTGCCCGTATATCGGAAACGTTTCATTCTAACGCGCTTTTGAATAGCTATCTCGACGTATCTTCTTTTCCTAAGCTGGGGAGGGATTGACGAAATACGCCCTCCCGCCTGCCATATAATATATGCCCCCATATCTAAACGACCGTCTGTTTCTTTGCCGCACGATAATCCATTTCGACAACCGAACCGAGAAATGCATGATATATCATGAACATCATGCGATACAAAGCCATACTCTCCAACTACCTCTTTGCCCGACTTTTCTCTCTATCTTCCACCCCCCGTGTATTACCATATTTCAGTTCCGAGCGCATGGCAGATCCATTTCCACTCTGGCGTGTGTGGGCGGTATTCAACTTTTAGTATTTTCCTCTCCTTTTATAAAAACGGAAACGTGGTTTAATGCGTGGTTGGTTTGTACATATAGAGGCATTTTTCCTGTTCTTCTTGTCTTGTTTACGGCGCCGGCCAGTTGGTTGGGCCGCTCCTTGTGTCTTGATATACAAAATATATACATTTCCTCAGGATTATTCTTGGAAGGAACCAACTGTCTCCAACAATCACCTTCGAGCTTTCCTTGCCGCGTTACTCATGAAGGTGCCGCCTTCCCAAAGCCTACTTTGCGCTTTCCCCAAGCATTTGCCGTGTCCAAAAATAAAACTGCAACTGGTTTTATCAATAATCAATAGCAACAAATTACAGGCAGCTTCATCAATAGGCTGGTTCCGGATTAAACATGCTGACGAGAACTTCACGACCACTTACTAAGGTCCCCGAGCCAGACAAGCGGCCCACCGTAAGAAACATGATCAAATGGCTCTGGCATGATGGGTTTTACAAGGGAGTCGTTGGCTGGAGAAGCAACGTGGAGCTGGGAGATACCAGTCTGCCATCAGACGCGTTTAATTCGCAAAGGAAACGGCACAATATGACGCGACTTGAAGATTTTGACCAAGTGGCAGCGTGTTTTAAAGACGAGTCGTGCCCCCCAAACTTTGTGGAAGAGATGATAGAGAAGCACAGCGAACTGATCCCAAGAGCAGTGAAGAAGATCAACAAGCAACTTTTACATGCTGGAGTCTCCCGGGAAGAGGTCGACAGGCTGGGTAAAGGACACGACTCGGGGAATAAGGAAGCATATGCAAAGCTTGACAGGCTGGTTGAGGCCAGACGGAAGATACCACCAGAAGGGAGGGTATATCGCGTAGTGTTTGGCAAGGTGGATGGTAGATGGCTGAGCCAGGAGGTCCCAGTGAATGCTAACTGCACTCTGGCTGAATTTGACAGCAAGACACGAGAGTATAGCCTGGCTTCATGCGAGGGCAGCGGAGTTGATGCCATGGTTGGCAGTGGCATACCAAGGATGAACGAGAGGCGAAGCGAGAGTCAATGGCTCTACAAGCTTGTACCAGCCGGCCAGAGCGTGGTTAAGCAGACTGAGGAAGGCTGGAGGAGACTTGAGACGCCGCAACACTTTGAACGCTTGAAGGAGAGGCAAATGCAACACAGGCCCATGACAGTCCTGATGTGTCGAGTAGGTTCCCTACAGCGCAGAAAAGCATGATTGGAAGAGAGACTGACTGGGTATATATTATGATAGGAAGAGATGCTGCACCATCTGATGCTGGTAGCAGATCCAGCCCCCGAGACCAAGCTCCAGACGCAGCCCGAGCCGTACAGAAGAATCCTGCTTGGAACCGAGGGTGGCGAGATTGCTGGAGACCAGGAGGAGATCTTCCGCGTCGAGGCTGAGACGGAGGCCTGGGCAGCAGAGCATGGCTACGAGCACGTCGACAGGTCTACCATATACGCTCTGCACCCTCGCCTAAAGAACTGAACCACGGCAGGCACTTACAAAACAGCCGCTGTTGGATGATGAGAGTAAAAAAAAAAAGTGAAAAATAAGAAATAAAAATAAAGTATTTAAGGTTTCGCGGCTATTTTAAACCTTAAAAACTTTATATCTTTAGGGGGCGAAAAAAAAAAGAACGGGGAAAAAAAAAAAAAGAGGACGGCAGAGAAAAGAAACGAGAGAAACGGAAAAAGGAGAGACAAAAGAAACGCAAGAGAGCAAGGGAATGCATAGCTGGAGAGGCAGAAAGAGGCTCCTATTGCGGAGGATCCCTGTCTGGTTTCTCTGGCCCAGCAGGGATGCAGCAGTCAAGAGGCAGAAAGGGCGTAATTAGTTAGGGTTAGCTAGCCAAAAGTATTATTGCTGTTAATGGGCTAAACCAAGGAAAAAGAGTAAAAGTAAATTAAGCAGAGGTTAACAGAGGATGCCTTGTGATCTTACCTGCTGTGCTATAGCAATACGAATGATGTGCAGAAATGCCTCTGCTGCAGCTGGGCATCCTATCACAACTAGCGCCTCCGCGCCTTTCCTGTGGCTGAGGACAGTTAAGAAGAGAGAAAGAGAGAGAAAAACTCCTCTGCCCCTCTGGAAAAGAGCCCTGCTCTCTCTGGCCCCTACTGTGAACCAACCCTTCTCGCAGGCCTCTGCCCGCCAGTCCTGCTGCCCGCGCCAGTGACAGAGCCCTCCACGCCGCTGAATGCCATCCTCCACCTCCATGGTAGAGCCTCGCGGCTGTCCAGAGCAGGCTGAGCCCGAAGACTTCCCGCCGTCGCATCCGGGTCTTCGTGACTCGGGCATCGCGACCTCGCCCACTGCGCTGCCCTTCATCCCTCACCTGGCGCTGCAGACATGTCCGCCGGCCAGAGGCGATGCCAGCGCGTCTGCAGCAGGCCAGCAGCAGCACCACAACGGCCAGCAGGGCCAGCAGACGCCATTGGCGCCGATAGTTGATTCGAGCCCAGTGACGCCACGGCCGCCGGTGCTGCTGCAGCTGCGTACGGACATTCCATCTGTCCATCAGCCGCCCCAGTATCTCCATCAACCCGTATCTCAAGACCAGCAGCGTTACCCTCAGGAGGAGGAGCACCAGCACCAGCACCAGCAGCACCAGCATCAACATCACCTGCAGAGCCCTCAGGGCGCCGGGTTCGACCAGTATCTCCATCTGAGCCGGTCGACGGCCAGCTTGCCACGCAGAATCCCCAGCATCCGCCATGCGCTGGCCGAAGTGCACTCGAGTGCCGGCTCTCTCTCGCCTGGCTCTGCCTTCTCATCGCCCCAGCTCGCCGGGCTCAGCGATCTCACTCCGCTGCCCTCGCCCATACAGCTGTTGGCCTCGCCTCCATGGGGCTCGACCAGCACGTTTTCGCTGTCCCGCGTCTCCTCAACAGCCTCCAGCCGCGAGCTGCATCTCCCCCCGCCGTTGACAACTGCCCGTCCGAGGCCGGTCCAGCCAGCATCCGCCTCGATATCTAGTGCTACACCAGCCTCCCCAGAGACCACTACCAACCCGTCTCAGCTCTCGGCGCCTAAGCGTGACCACAGGCATACCCGCAACCGCAGCCTGAGCGAGTATGTCCCGCCAGCTCTCCAGGTCCATCCCCCAACCCGCAAGGCTGCTGCGTCTGAGGCGGCCTCTCGGGCCCGGGACAGGGATGCATCGAGGGATGGACGACCCGGTCCGAATATACAGAGGGAGCAATACTTGGCTGCGCAGCGTGGCATAGCTGTCCTGCCACCGCCGCTCCCTACGCCCACGTCTGCCCTGGAGCCGTCTGATTTTGGTGTATTTGATAGTGAAGTCTACGAAGTCCAGTCAATTCGGTCCAAGCAGCCTCGCAGGTACCGCTGGCAAAAACTCCTGGGCCAAGGAGCCTTTAGCCAGGTTGTCCTTGCAGCCCGGGAGGAAGACGGAGTAGTTAATCCCCAGACTCGCCGTCTTGTGGCCGTCAAGATTGTTGAGTACGGGCCGGCTGGAGGAGCGGACGAGGAGCGTGTCGAGGTCTCGCTCAATCGGGAAGTGGAGATTCTCAAATCCATCGATCATCCGTCCATCGTCCAGCTGAAAGCCTTTGGAAGTGACCCGAAACGAGCCCTCTTGGTCCTTGACTACTGCCCTGGAGGTGACCTATTTGAATTCGCCAGCATGCGGATGAAGCGGATCAATCCTCCGCTGATCGAGAGAATCTTCTCCGAGCTCGTCGATGCAGTCAGGTATCTCCACGGAAATCACATTGTCCACCGTGATATCAAGTTGGAAAGTGAGTTTATTCATTTGTCACTCAAGATGGCACTGGTTATGTATAGTTACTGACTTCCATAGATGTCCTGTTGAACATGCCATTTGCCAAAATGCAGGAAATTACTGACTGGCGACACTATCCTCGTGCAGTCATAACGCTGACGGACCTGGGTCTCTCACGACGCATCCCACAACCCCCTGAGAGTCCTCTCCTACGCACCCGCTGCGGTAGTGAAGACTACGCTGCCCCTGAAATCCTAATGGGCCAACCATACGATGGCCGGTCAACTGACGCGTGGGCTCTTGGCGTTCTCCTCTATGCCATCATGGAAAATCGTCTACCATTCGACCCTCTGCCTGGCACTAGGGGAGACCCAGCTAAACTTCGGGCTCGTACTCCACACCGTATCGCCCGTTGTGAATGGAGTTGGTACCGTTATGCAGATCCGGACGGGGACTGGGACCCAGTCAAAGGGAGAGACCTCGAGGGGCCCCGGCGCTGTGTCGAGGGTCTTTTGAAACGTGGAAGTAAACGTACGCATCTTGACGAAGTGGCTGATATGGAATGGATTAAGAATGCTATTGCGACTGATGTCCTGCCTCTGAGACGCGGTGACGTCGAGGTTCCTTGAACGAACGAGTCGAGATGGGTAAATATTTTCTTTTACTTTTTTTCACTTCGTTTCTTCTTCTTCTAACTACTTTGTACAACTGGTTTGAACCCCCCCTTCGCTTTATTCTTTTATTTTTCTTTTTCACTTCTTCTTTACCCCCTTTTTCTTTACTTCTTTTACTTTACTTCGCTTCACTTTTCACTTCTTTTCTTCGGCATCTTTCGATATGACGCTCGCTGTATTTCTTATACCTCTTTGCCCTTTCTTTTACCTTCACCTTCTTTTCTTTTTTTCACCATTTCATATTTTTGTCCCTTTTGTCCAGATAATTACCACGAAGCAATGCATCACTCGCTTGATAAGCGTCTGTAAAATAGTTTATATGTACTATAAAGTAAATAATATTAATATCAAGAGACTTGCGTTTTGTATGTTTTATGTTAATCACGTATTAGTTAATCATGGGTAGATACGGTCGATGGAAGTATTTCTCCTGTAAAATGAAAGCTTCTCAGACTAAATAATTAGGCAGTCTGTTTTGCAATGGTAGGTCTGGGCAAGCTCTGGTAACTAATTTGGGGGCTTGGACCAAGAGGCTTGGGCCGGAGAGATGACCTTGCATCGGACCGTCCCGTAACCTTGGAACTTTAATCACCAACGGTTCCGAGTTAATGAGGCTCAACTGAACCATGACTTGCCTGACCTCCAACATCACCAAGAACTTATAGTGTAGCGCAATCTGTTCAATTTAGCAGGGTGAGAAAGCAGTACAGAAAAAAAGCTGACAAGCTAGCTATTGCGCTAGTTATTCTACGGCCATCGTTAAATCCTGTCTACTCCTTCAATAGATCAGTATCATCTCCAAAGCATCGAGTGCGTAGCGCCTCAATTTTTTGAAGAACCTCCGGCGACTTGAACACATATCTCTCAATGATGCCTGGTTCCACTCTACTTCCAAAGTATGGATGGAAGTCCGGTAAGCGGCTAACCATTGTGGACTCGTTGATGGGTGATTCTACCCACATCGAGGTAGGCTCGATGTCGCTGCTCAAACTATCCTTTCTACCGTCTTGTTCACCAGGGCGTTCTGTGACATCAATGCCTTGCTCCAAGGCTCGTTTGTCTATATCAGCTAGATAGAAAGGATTAGCGTTCTTCGTAGCTGCAAGACGAATGCGCCAATGTGGCACAGGATTGATAGATTGATATATATCTTCATAGTCGCAGAAGATGCATGCGATTGCAATCTGCTCCTGCATTGACGGACACTTCTTAGCGAGAGCCTCGAGACATTTTCGATGGGGTTTGAGAGGCCACCAGATGAGATACGGCTTGCCCTCCATCTCGTCGTGAAAGCCAGAGATATCATTTATCATGATCCGGCGGGCATTGATGGCCGACCTTATTCTCCAGACGTCTTGCTTCGGAATGCGGCTTGTGTTCATCTCAAGTTGGTCCATCCACCACCGTGCAAACATGGTATTATGGTATATGCCGCGGGTAACGCATGTTACTTCCGAGTGAGTCATTTCCTGGGGGTCCATCAGTCGGTGGTATCGATCTATATTGCCCTCGTATGCTGCCATATCTCTCAGGAGTTCTTTCTTTACAGTTGGAATATCAGCTGGAAGAGGTTGGTAGAACCATTTGGCTTCTTCTGCGGATAGACACTTGTACTGATCATCCAGGTAAGCAGCTGCTACATCGAGCCTGTTGTCTTCTTCGATGTCTTGATCTCCCTGGTCATATTCTCCGTCTTCCAGCAGATCCCCACGGGGCTCTACCTTCCATCGCACAGCCGTGTTTCCGTTCAGATAGGCTGGAAACTGTGGATTATCAACATTGATACCACGAGTATTGTCATCCAACACCGCATATTTAATAGGTGAATCCAGTATTAGGCGGTAGATCTCACGGCCACCATTAGTTCCACTTTCCCGCGCCTCTTCGGCAATAGACACTTCAGGAAGCAGCTTGAAATCTATATTAAAATGTCAGCTCTGCAAAATAGACAGACAGGCTATGAAGAGACTACCAACTCACCCTTAACGAGCTCCTTATACAGATCGGCATATCCGGCAGCGCCACAAGCCCGACCAACCTGGTACAACATAGCAGGATACCGATGCACTAATTTGCGATAGGTATCTGCAGAGGCACAATCTGGAATCCATATGCAGTACGGTTGCACTCTTGGATCCTCCATCCCTTCAGGGATGACGTTGCTCATTATCAGTCGTGCGTTGCGTGCGCGTGCAAATTGAGGTATGGTCATGTCGTCGCATATGCGGCTCACTCCAGGGCTTGTTGCATATTCATAGGAAGTCCGTATTCCTCGAACGACGCACCATCGAGCAGTCTTGGAGGAGAGATCCTTGGGCACGCCTTCAGCCTGCAAGGCGGCTACGCACTGTCTGTAGCTATATGGGCGTCCATCCAAATCCGAATATGGCTCTGACTCTGGATCCGACTGGTTGGTATCCTCTGGAGCCTCAACAGACTGTGTTATCTCTGGCATATTTGGCTTCTCTGGTTTGTCTGACATTTGTATTTCTGGCTCCGGACTTAAATCTGGGGCGTTCTTCAGGCAGAAACGCTCTCCCCCCGTAGTTAGTTACTTGGTTTCACTGCTTTAGTGATAGAGTAAGTAGTTGTAACAAGATAGAGCTTAACCAAACTCGCAGTAGTTAGTACTCTTTGACTAAGTAACCAACACAGTCCTTCAGCGTATGCTTGCTGCAATATATATTTATTTAATTAGGCCTCAAGGTAGTAACCAACTAGCATTTTAAGTCATTAATATAATTAATAAAGACGATCTGATAACAAACTTGCAGGGTTAAATTAGAATTTCAGGCATGAAAGCGGGTCCGTTAATGGCGTTACACATATAAGTAGCTAGCTACTCTGAAGATTGTATGTTTGCTGTATCCACCATAAAGCGAGCTAACTACTTAGATCTTCCCTTTCTGTACGTAGATACGCAGACTAGAGGTGTAACTTGCGGTCGGCCTCCCTCCACGATGTCAAGAGGCGGTGGTGCGTGAATGCTCCGGGTCCGAATTCCACCTTTCCCTTATAATTAGGATCCCCAAAGTGCCTGACCCAGTCACCGAAATCATCAGCGTTCTTGAAGCCAAGCCCCCTAAGTTTTCCCCCATTGGCATCGAAGGTTTCTCTAATACGGAATTCGGGGTACCTAGACCCGAGTGGAATTTTGGAGTCTTTCCAATCGAGCTTGACGTCGAGATCGAAACCGCCATCTTTTACCGGCGAACTCAACTTCTTCAGAAGGTAGATACTTGTCGTTTCCTCGCGTAGGGTGATAGTTGCCTTGAGGGCTTCTTTCATGAAGGGAAGATTCTGCTGGAAGATACCCCTGTTCCTGGGATTCGCGAGGTGCTGTAACAGTCCGCCCACAAGTCCGTCTACCAAAACTGTAAAAGACGTTCTGTGAGGATCCTTGGGGTCATAGAAGTTGCGTGATCCGCCCCCACTGCCTGGCTTCTTCTTGCCCCCTGGAGGTTTGTTGAAAGTCTTGCCTCGGAGAGAAGGGTCAAGGGCGTTGACGCTCACTTCACCAGTGAGTTTGTACTTTAGCAGATCCGCCACGGCATCTCCGACCCTTCCAGGGGGGTCGGGATGAGACAGGACGGGATGATCTGGTGGAAGTGGTCTGTCCTCGACTCTAGCGATGAACTCGGGGTAAGTGAGCATGCCCCCAGGGCCAGAACCTCTGTTATTTCTTGATTCCTGGCCTTTCTGCTGTTTGAACGGAAGGAGGTGCTGTTGTTTATCTGGCCCTTCAATCAGACTACTCCGTCGATATGTTGTGTTAGTTATCAAAGCGTTGAATACCATGCTGCAAGCTAGCCGTGTAAGAAGAGCATCTCACCAGAAAGTTTCGTATGTGCCCCAAAAAAATAATCTCTCGTAACCGTGCGCAAGGAAGTTGTCCGCCTTGACAGGGCCAGCCAGCAAGACCAGCCATGCCAGGACGATTGGGAGCACGGAGAACCGTACCACGGAGCTCAGCATGTTCGATGATAGCCGTTTGATATCAGATTAAGAGGGAAACACTGTATATTCAGGCTGATGAATGGATGATTGAGGGAAAAAAACAAGGGAATGGCAAGAAGAGATCTCGCCTTCTTATATCTTTCTTCGAACACATAGAGGCCAATATCTACATCTTGTGTATTGCCATATCATCTGGAAGCCCTACCGGCGTGATGTGTTTCTTAGCCCATTTTGCCGATACTTGGACGATATCTCACTGCCATGCCTTGGTAGAGTCCCAAATAGTATGCCCGTTTCCTAATCAGCCCGTCACTGCAAGGTGCAATCTGCAGTCCGTCCCAAGGCCCCATCGGAAGGTGGGCTATAAAAATAGAGCAGGGGTATAATATTGTAGTTAACTGGTCCTGCAGGCATAACTAACGGTAACTAAACGGGGTCCCCGCGTCTAGTCAAATGGAAAGCTCGCCGAGAACATAATGCAAGACATCAGCCACAGGTAGATCCTGGGCATGCTGGGTAGTGCAATCGTTATCTGTTCGTTCTGTCTGTTCTTCTGCCAAATCTCTCTTTTAATTGATGGCTTTTTCTTCCCTTCACTTCTGGATGTTGTTTTCGATTGATGTTGATGGCTGTCACTTGTCTCTCGTATTATTGGATGCAGTTGCGGAAATATTGTAAATTCCTATTGGTCAGTAATCTGTTCACACTCGGAGATTCAATGCAGTTATTGGCTAGCTGCAGTTAAGAAAATGGGTTTCCTTGATCTTCATTGGACATGATTTTAACTTTACTTGGAAATAAAATTCATGATAGGCCCATCACAAGACAAGAAAAACTATTTCGCTGCAGCCATAAAACGCCGTGCTATAAGTCTTGGAACCTGATAAGGAGGATGGAGGAGTCGGGGATACGGGGACGATGAGCTTCTTCTTCTTCTTCTTCTCTGTCTGCTGAAAGAAAAAGCCGTTGGGATCGTCGTTGTGCATGCAGAATGCAGATACGAGAGAGAATATGTCCATCTCGGCCAAGAGATTAAGTATATACAGCTAGGGAGTGATTATCGTCGTCAGGCAGTCATTGCGATCAGCCTTGGATTGAATGCTGGCGTGAAGGAGAAGCCAACGGGTTGGCGATGAAGATTCACGAAGATAAGGATAGATCCTTCTCTAGAGACCATCGGAGCGTGGGTGGTGGCCAGCCTGAAGGCTCATAGTGATATCTGTCAGGGGTAAGCATCAAAGGAGAGCAGAGCACAACACCGTTGAATTAGCATTCTCTACTCCGTAGTCATTGTAGTATAACTAATAGCTAATGGTTACTTGGCTGAGTCTGTTCTCTGTCTAATCGCCGTAGCTTGACACTGCCTGTAGTGGTCCTGAGCATCCGGACTTTGATATCACGATCAAGACACCCTGACCACCAGTGTATATTCAGTCAATCTACTGCTACAATATACTCGGTACATCATGTAAAATATCGTCTTCATGTCCCTGGCTAGACTCCCCGTAGTTTGAATCACTTTGTAGATAGAGCGAGGCAGCGAGATCGGCCTATCAGCGCCTCCGCATAAATAATCTCGCCGGCGTTAAAGACGAACAAAAACCACCGCAACAAGTCGAACCTCGCTGAAGACGCCGACGAAGCATCTCACAGCGCCGCGAGAACCCGTCGAGATGCTTCGAATCCAGCGTGCCGGGCGTCTGTCCTCGAGGGCTCTGCTCCCTCTGCTCCCGTAAGTCGAGTTCGAGTCGCCTCTCGAAGCTCCCCGGAGCTACCCCTGCAGAAGCGAAGTCGGAGGAGTCATAACAAGCCAGCTAACTGACAGCCCTCGAACTTCACAGACAAACGGCACAGCGCAGCGCCTCGTCCTCGTCGAAGAAGCCCGAAAGCGAGCTCAACAGCGTGTCGAGACATGTCACCCAGCCTATCTCGCAGGGCGCCTCGCAGGCCATGCTCTATGCCACCGGCCTGTCGACAGAGGACATGTCCAAGGCGCAGGTTGGCATCTCCAGCGTCTGGTACAACGGCAACCCATGCAACATGCATCTGCTCGACCTAAGCAACAGGGTACGGGCCGGCGTGCAGAAGAGCGGCCTGATTGGATACCAGTTCAATACCATTGGAGTCAGCGATGGCATCAGCATGGGCACCAAGGGGATGCGCTACAGCCTGCAGAGCCGAGACCTGATCGCGGACTCGATCGAGACGGTCATGGGCGGTCAGTGGTACGATGCTAACATCAGCATTCCGGGCTGCGACAAGAACATGCCTGGCGTCGTCATGGCAATGGGCAGAGTCAACCGGCCGAGTCTGATGGTCTACGGAGGCACCATACGTCCTGGCTGCGCAGCTACTCAGGGCAACGCAGATATCGATATCGTCTCGGCGTTCCAGGCGTACGGCCAGTTTCTGACGGGCGAGATCAGCGAGGAACAGCGCTTCGATATCATCCGGCATGCTTGTCCTGGTGGCGGTGCCTGTGGTGGAATGTACACGGCCAACACCATGGCTTCGGCCATCGAAGTGATGGGCATGACCCTGCCGGGCTCTTCGTCGAACCCGGCCGAGTCAAAGGCTAAGTTCATCGAGTGTGAAGCGGCCGGAGGCGCTATCAAGAACCTTCTGGCTGAAGATATCCGGCCGTCCGATATCCTCACTCGCCAGGCCTTTGAGAACGCCATGGTCTTGGTGACGGTGACTGGAGGCTCGACCAACGCAGTTCTGCATCTTATCGCCATTGCAGACTCTGTAGGAATCAAGCTAACCATAGACGACTTCCAAGCCGTCAGTGACCGGGTCCCTTTCCTCGCGGACCTGAAGCCGTCTGGCAAATATGTCATGGCTGATCTACACAATATCGGTGGAACCCCGTCCTTGATCAAATTCCTGCTCAAGGAGGGCCTCATCGACGGCTCAGGCATCACGGTGACGGGTCAGACGCTGGCCAAGAACGTTGAGAAGTTCCCTGACTTCCCGTCTGACCAGAAGATCATCAGGCCGCTCTCTGATCCCATCAAGCCAACGGGTCATCTACAGATCTTGCGTGGTAGTCTTGCGCCTGGAGGCAGTGTTGGCAAGATCACCGGCAAGGAGGGCACACGGTTCGTCGGTAAGGCCAGAGTGTTTGACCATGAAGACGACTTTATTGCTGCATTGGAGAACAAGGAGATCAAGAAGGACGAGAAGACTGTCGTTGTTATTCGATATACTGGTCCCAAGGGCGGTCCAGGCATGCCAGGCACGTATACTCTCTCTCTCCCCCTCTCTCTCTACCTAAAACTATATCCATGTATACTAATATGTTTACAGAAATGTTAAAACCATCATCTGCCCTAATGGGTGCAGGATTGGGCCACTCCGTTGCCCTAATAACTGACGGCCGTTTCAGCGGTGGCTCCCACGGCTTTTTGATTGGCCATATCGTCCCCGAGGCCGCCGTGGGTGGCCCCATTGGACTCGTTGAGGACGGTGATCAGATCACGATCGACGCTGAGAATAGGCTTCTTGACCTTGATGTTGCCGAGGACGTGCTTGCACAGCGTAGGGAGAAGTGGTTGGCTCGAGAGCAGGCTGGTCAAGGCCGGCCTACCGGACTGACTATGAGAGGCACACTGGGGAAGTACGCCAGAAGCGTCAAAGATGCTAGCCACGGATGCATAACCGACAGCTTCTAAGAAGGGAGTTTGCATTTAGCACTCGATAGTATCGGGGGGGATATAAAAATGTATACTATTCTGGCCTAGCAATGGGGTTTAGTCATTTCTAATCATATTCCATGTATAATTTGAGTGTGTCCTGTCCCTAGCTATATACGCGAAATTTGGTTGTAAGAGAAAAATAAAAGGAAATAGATCCCAGAATTCCGCATATGCACCGTGCCGTGAACATCCTAGGATTCGATTCCCATGTCATGTCTGGTCATTTGGTAGTTGTCTTGCCTGTATAACTCCATCCCCCATAGTAAGAAGGGTGTGAAAAAAAAAGCCGCTCTTGCACCAGGCATAGGAGGGTTGAAAGAAGAAAAGCAAGAGGTAAAAAAGAAGAAGAAGAAGAAAGAAAGAAAGAAAGAAAGAAAAAGAAAAAAGAAAGAGAAAGAAAGAAACGAATGTGAGGGTATCGAATACAACAGAAAAAATAAGAAAAAAGAAGAAAAAGTCCTTTGTCCTTTGATCCAGATTGTTCATCAACCAGCCAACCAGTAAAAATAATGGAATTGAATGGGTATATCATGAATTGAAAGTGGTTGAAAATAAAGAAGAAGGAAAAAAAAAAAAAAAAAAGGACAATGAAGAAAGAAATCATCGAGCAGCTCTGGCGGTAACGGCATCCGTGGCCAGAAGCTGGATACGCCGCTCGTAAAGGGTCATCATATGCATCATAACGTCTCCAAAGACAACGCCAGCCATCTGCTCGTTGTTTGTCAGGTAGGCTTCCACTACATCCTTGTCTCTAGGGTTGTGCTTATCTCCACGAAGAACGATCAGGCAGCCTGGTAAGGTGAGAGTGGGCGAGGGTATAGGCCAGGTGACTTCCGGTTCAAAGTCGGATTTGTCAGTGCTCTCTCGACGATCCTTGAGGAATCCTAGCTTGCTTGGCTTGCTGCTGGTCGTGGACGAGCGAGATCTGCTGCCCTGGGTTGAAGGGGCAGGCGACTTGTAGAGGTTGATGAGGGAACGGATATATGGCTTGTCCGCGCGGCAGACCGGGTCGCCTTCGTTGACAAAAGTGTAGAAGAGCCATTTGGCGTACCGTGGGTCTGACGGTTTGTTGATCGGCAGCAGGGATACCGGTGGAGAGCCAAAGGTAAAGCAGTGGATGCGCTTGAAACGGTCACGGAGGTATATCAGCTCCGAACGCAGGGTGGAGGAGAGGATATGAGCGTAAAGTAAGCTGGCAACGGCACCGCCAGCAGAGTGGCCTGTGATGACAAGAGAGAACTTTGATCGAGCGGGATTCTCGGCCAAGAGCTGCTCAAGCCGCATAGCCACTGGACGGACCATCTTTCGAGCCACTGAAAGGAAGCCGGCGTGGCAGAGGTTACCCGGGTCATCGAGGAACCCGGTGGGAGTTGCGGGCTCCGCATTCATATTGGTAGCCCAGTCGGTGAAGGAGGAGCGGGTGGTCCCTCTGACAGCAAAGACGATGAGATTCATATGATCGAGGGCAACGGACTTGATGACCATGGCCTTGGTGCCCAGGTAAGGGTCTCCTTCGACGTGAGTCTCCCGCTCAACAGACGAGGGACGGTTGTAAGCGCTCTGGGACGATTGGGCAGCCAGACATAGCAGCGGCCATGTTGATATGAACCTGTCATCGTCAGTATATAGAAAAGAGGAGAGCAGATAGGGAGATGTACAGATTGAGAGGGACGAGTTTAGGTGGCAGCCGGGAGTTTGCGTAGTGGTATGCCTTTGCAAAGTAGTTCGTCTTGTGGGAGGCTGAGGAGGAAGAGCGCAGAAAGCTGCGTCCGGAGCTGGTCTTGGAGGCCGCATCAGGGCCGGCCGGGCCAGCATCAACATCTAGATCTGCCACCGGTCAGCAACAGCGTATTATTCATAGCAAACAAGAACGGCGGTAACTAAACATACAGAGGTCTCTCTCGCGGCCGCTAAAGACCTGCATGTCCATATGGTTGATGACCTCGTCCAGCTTGTCCGAGAGCATGTCTGTCAGGTCTATCGACACATCCGAGGCCTGTCCAACGTCCGTGGTAGCGCTGCCGCCCCGGCTGAGCCGCGAGGGCTGCGAGACGGCCGTCGCACTGCCCATCGACCGAGTCCCCCGCCTGTGGCCGGCGCTCTTTAGCGAGCGAGGCAGCGAGGCCAGCGAGGCCGGGTAGCTGTCCCTGTCCTCCCGGGGCGCGGCGGCCACATAGGGCGGAGAGGTCGGCGGCGAGGGCGGCAGACGGGGCGCACTGTAGCTGTTGAACTCGTAGCTGTAGTCATTTGGGCTGAAGGGGTATTGTTCATGGCGTCCTTGATGCTGATGAAGGTGATGCTGCTGGTGGTGCTGGTGCTGGTGATGCTGCTGCTGGCCGCGCAGGTCGAAGTAGGACTGCTCGACGGCAAGGCTGACGTCCGGCGCAGGGCCTGGCACGGCCGCATAGTCTGGATAGTCGCGCGGCGCCATCTGGGGATATATCTCTGCGTGGTCTGGGGCTTGCTTTGCGTCTCTGGCGTGGTGGTGGTGGTGGTGCTGGTGCTCATGGCCGTGCTGGTGATAGTAGGCGGGCGGGAAGGGCAGCGGAGGGCTGATAGGCAGCGACTTGACCGAGGGCGCCGGCCGGTGCTTGCGAGAGAGCATCATGGAGGCGACGGAGCTGGCGGCAGAGCAGCAGACAGTCCATCAGCGGGCTGGTGAGGCTGGGACATAAGACGGTCTTCGGTGGTGAAGGCGGTTGGGTGGTGGTGGTGAAGACGAGATGTTGTTCAATTTTATACGGAGGTGAAGGCGAGAGAAGCGAGAAGAGAGGCTGAGCGAAGGATGCGCCAGTGACAGCGAGGGCCCGCAACGACGAGCAGGCGAGGTAGCTATAGCAGACGGGGGGACGAAGATGCCGATGCAGAATCGATGCAGAATCGCGGGATAGCAGCAGGACAGACGAAGGGCAGAAGATGGAGTACGCCGGTTCTCTATTAATATCTTCCCTGCCTGTCCGCAGGGGTCAGGGGCCGCCGCGCCGCAGGAGAAAAAGGGGGGGAGGGATGTTGGTAGCCGCAGCCGCAGACGCAGAGCGGACGCAGGGCGGGAGACGGTAGATATAGACCGGGAGAGAGAGAGACAGACGGGCGTATAGTTACAACAGACACAGGTCGATCCATGTGTATATATGTATGTATGTATATTTGCTTGATTATGCGTTGAGTCTATAGCAGATACACTCTTGCATCCCTGGCCTTGCATGCACTCTATATAGACCAGACCGTTGAAGACGGAGTAGAAAACAGTAAGAAAAAGGAAAGAAGACGAAGAAGAGAAGTATTAAAGACGTAGGTGTTTAGAAGCGGACGTCCTGTAGGACGCTCGCGCGAGCCTGTACCAGCGCGGTGATCTCCAGGATGAACTCGTACAGTATCACGACGTTGGTCAGGATATGGTTCAGCGAAGCCCCGTCCTCTTTCTCGCTGGCCTCTTCATTCTCCCCGGCCTCAGAAGGAGCAGTGCTGGAGCCCGGTGTCTCGTGGACGACCTGGAGGGAGGAAGATGGCGCTTGCGAAAGGGGGTGCAGCGTGGCCGGCGAGGGCGAGGAGGATTCGGCCGGTGGCTGGACATTGACTCGGGTCGAGAGCTGTGGCGGCGAGGGAGACGGCTCTCTTCCGGCCGGCGCTGTTGTAGTTGTAGTTGTTGTTGCTGCTGCTGCTGCTGCTGTTGGTGCTGGTGCTGGTGCTGGCTCCGTCTCCGACTCGTCTGCGGCAGAGACAGACTGCTGATGCTCGTCTTTGCCCTGCTGAGTGTCGGTCCCGGTGACTTCGGACTGGTCCTCGCGGTGCAGCAGTTCCCGGCGAGCAGAGAGCAAGAGCTCAAAGTCTGGGATCTCGGTGCGCCAGTCCTGGACCTGCTTGACAAGCTGCTGAAGGATGGCTGACAGTACCGGCTCAGTCTCGGTCTTCGTCTGGCTGGTGGCCTCGACGTTGGCGGCAGTAGCAGCAGAATCCTCTGTCTGGCCGTTGGAACCAGGCTCTTCAGGGTGAGACAGAAGCCAGCCGTCCAGAGATATCAGGTCGGACGAGGCCAGGGCCGAAAGGGAGTTTGTCAGAGCCAGGTTGGTCACCACACTGTTCGTGAAGAACCGACGCAGCAGATCCAGCATCCCCGAGAACACTCCTCCCCTGACGTCGACGATCCACGGCACCACATGGCTCTGACCGTGCATCCGCTGGTAGAGTACCGACAAAGCACTGGAGATGTAGTTCTCGTACGAAGGCTCTATACCCGGATCATCTAGCAGATCCGTAGCATATGTGAATAGCCGTTGCACCTCTCCGTTAAGCGCAGACACTGTACGCAGCTCCGTCGGATGGGAACTCTGGTCCCTTGCGGACTTGATCAGCAGATTCGCAAACTCATGGTGGTGCTGTATCACAACCGTTATTAGCCGCAGCGTTGCCACAACGGTCTGCCGGTTGTGCGACCGTATACCCATCAAGATAAGATCGACCAGGTTGAATAGGGTCGGAGATGGTTTGGCCGCCGCCTCAGCAAAGGAGGCCAGTATATCCAGTGACTTTCGCCGGCTCAGCGACATACGGCTTTTCTTGGTCGATGTAAGCCTGATATGCTGCTGCTCGCTGGCTGGCGAAGCGAGCAGGAAGTTTAGTATCCGGTTGACCAGGACCGGCTGGTAGATGGACTCCAGTATGCGGCTCAGATAGGTAATCACTGACGATGTAGAACCGCCTGCTACGTCGGATGATTCCAGCAGCGAGGGATATCTATAACCACCAGTTAGACCGTGGGAACAGATTACAAAACTTAGACAGAACACCTACAGAAGCTGCTCGAGAAACAAGACCTGGAAGTGGTCGAGAAGCGTGTCAGTTACTTCGGGCGATTTGCAATGGTCGATGGCGTCCTGCCAGAATAAAAGATAGGAGAGAAATGCATCTAGCTGGCCCTGGTGCGAGTGATGCACGGTGTTATCCAGATCAGTGTGGTCTGATAGCGCAATGATAGCCGGGATATCCTCATGGCTGTCGGTTGATATCAGGAGCCTGTCTAGCATGTTAGCTTCTTTTGTCTTTGAAATTCAATCCTCAGGGTCGATATATCTACTACACACCGGCTGAGTTGGCTGTAGGAAGCACCAAGTCCAATAGCCATCAACGTAGCCATGTCACTCTCGATAAGCCATCTCTCCAGTTCCTTGACCTTGGATGCAGTCTCGATTATATATAGCAGCCCTGTCCGGGCAAAGTCCCCCGTCCTCCCTTCGTAGTGCACATAGTCCACCAACAGATAGAAGAGTGGAAAGTCGTCTCTCCTAGTAACACCTGCAAACCCCTTACCAGCCCTCAACGACGGATCTATCCGTTGAGGCTCCCCGGACCCATCCTTCTTTTCCTCTGGCGAGAACCAGGCCGGTAGGATCTCTGGGCGGAGGCGGATGACGTTGGCGACGCCAAAGACAAGCTCAACCAGCTTCGACTCCCCGTCTTCGAGATCACGCCGGTCGATGCACGTCGAGGCATTACCGTGCGAGACCAGGTCGACCAGGGCACGCGAGAAGACGCTGCTGTCCACGATCCCATCCACCTCAGACTCGATCAGGGTGTTCAACAGCACAGCCGCAGCCGAGACCACGCCCGGATCGTGCGTTGCCAATGCCAACTTGGTCACCGTCAGGTATACCTGGGACGTAGCGGCGTCTGAGTGACACGGGTGAGGCGACGGCCCGCGAGACTCGTCTCGAAGGATGGAATTGAGGCGGTTCAGGGAGCTTCGAATCAAGGGGATCGAGGGCGATTCAGGAGACAGCGAGGGCGAGTTCCGCCATATTTGCTACCGACAGCCGTTAGCCCATGGCCCTAGAGCGCCAAAACTTCTCACTACGCATCCCCGGCTCAACGTACGTAGAGGGTATTGCATGTGTGCTTGAATGCTGCCAGTCGTTTTCCAGTCGGGTTCTTGCGCAGGGCCTTGGACGAGCCCGAGGCGGCGCCGCCTATCAGTCGAGACCACTGGCGGCGAAAACTTGTCAGCAGAAGCGGATGGCCGTCAGGAGGCGCGGATTCTTACAAAGTCCATGACAGCTCTTCATGTCTCCGTGTCCGCTTCTAAAGGGCGCGGCCGGGCTGTGTCTGTTCCATGGTCGTGTGTGTGTGTGCTTGTGCGTGTGTGTCGTTGGTGAGACATCCAGATCTTCGTCCTTAACTACTGGAGCTGAACTCTTATCGATAGTTAGTTCACGAACTAGCGAAGCCGGTCACTCTACGGCTATTACAGAACCAGCTGTGCTTTTCACTACGGAGTACACTACTTTACTACGATATATTTCTGTTGACCTTGGGATGTACTATTTGGCATTGGATGTGGGATGGGGCGGAGGTGTGGAAGGCCACTCATGCTTATGCTCCGTAGGTAGTTATACCGATAAATAACTAACTAGTTACCCAAGAAAACTAGTTACCGGCTCGAGCATGAATCTCACTGTCCTGGTCGATACTGGCGGTTGCTGCCTTGGTAGCGCCAGTCTTCGCTTGGGCATGCCTTGGGGTGGAGGATTATCTATCGCCCCATCCTTAACATACAAATCTTGCCGCAGGTATCGAGCATCACTTCTAAACCGTTGTTTCTTCCCATTCGGACGTTAGTCAATTGATCGCTTCAAACACCAGGGGACTGCTGCGTCAGAGTAAGCCATCTTAACAATCTACTTTGAAGCAATTGATTAACGCTTCTCGCTCTCCAGCCCTGTCCACAAACTAGGCCCCTACAATTAGTTACGCAGTAGCAGTTAGCGTTGTCATCAACAACATCTTCCTCTCTTCAACACCATAGCGGGCATCTGAGGTATAAAGACATGGGACTATCCAAGGTCTAGGCTTAGGTTCTATTCATATACCGACTCACCGAGCCAGGGCGAAGAACTGCCCTTAGACCGTTGACCCAGAGTAGCTCTTTGGACCCACCGACGCGGAACTGAGTTTCTCGAAGTAGTTATTTGCATCGGTACTCGAAACACCAACTTCCCCAGCGTTAGATGAAAGTGGTAAGGCCATTATTGGCGGCCATAGCGGTAATCCAGTACTTGGCGTTTATTCTGGGCCGGCGGTCAAACTGATGTTATATCTTCAGTCTTTCTACTCAAGATGATAGATTTCATCCTCATTGCAGTCGTGGGTTTAGTGCTTGACGAAGACTTCTTCTTCTTCTTTGTTTTTTTTTTTTTTTTTTCCCGTTATCTTTATAGAATGAACTGGGGAATTCATCGTAAGACGGTCTTAAATCAAATGGACTCATTCAAATGGAGAGGTGGTATAAGGCATTCTTGTGGTGACTGTGGCTATGGCGTCCTTTATGCCGAAAAAAATGTTCGCAGCATATATTGCCTCTGCTATATTAAGCTCTTATAGGTAGGACAGCACACGAAAGTACAGCACCTTCATCGGTAGTACGTATTTATGTCGATTAAGGAACATTGACAGTGATAGGTTCTCTAAGGCGACGGATCACTAGTACCAGCAGTTAGTCGTCATGAAGCCGGGTTCCCAGGTAGTCATGAATTAAACAATAATAATAACTAGTAAACGTGTGGGAGATCAGCAATAAAAACTTCCCTTAAAAGGAGAAGACATGCAGGGCGGCCAAAAGGAACTGGATGCGTAGAATCCCCCTAATATAATAAAATAATATGTCTGTAAATTTTAATATTTATATAATCTAGATTTTCTTTTTTCTAATATAATTACTCCTTTTTTTATTACTTTACTATTACTTCTATATATTCTTTTTCTAAATAATATCTATATTTATGGCTTCGTAGCCTTCATATTATTTACTATAGCTTTTATATTTTATTTATAATATTTATTATACTATAGATATGTTTATAGATCTATAATTCTACTATTTCTACTATTCTATATAACTAATTAGTAATTTTCGTTCTAGCTAAAAAAATTTACTTACTTATAATACTTATGGGGAGTTATACTACTAATATTATAGCTATACTTATTTATTTTTATTATTAAGTCTATAAGGCTACTTAATTTACTACTATAATATTTCTACTACTAATTTTATATATAATAGCTAAGTTTACTAAATCTATAATATCTATAGCGACTATTAGGCTATAAAATATTTTACTTAAATAGTATAATTAGAGTACTAACTAGACATAAGGATGGATGGGTTGGGTCAAACTCAGGGGGTTAGAAGTTTGCTTATTATAGGCGCGGGTAAATTTATCTAGGTGGTAGGTAGGCTAAAGGTAATATAGACTTTACCTACTCGCCTATATAGGCCCTA